CCCCCCGGGCGCCCCTTCGGCCCCAACTGTCCCCCCCGGGCACCGCTTTTGCCCCAAGTGTCCCCCCCAGGCACCGGTTTGGTGTGAAGTGCCAACGTCCCACAGCGCTGCCGGCAGTTTTATTTCTATTTATTTACAGCGCAGCCGCAGGGTTTGTCCTCACACAGAGCCCGTTACCTTCATAACAGAACACAAAGATAGGAAGAAAAACACTTTTTTTTTTTCCAAAATATAACTTTAATATATATATGCATATATACACACACGCACACCACACACGCACTATATAGAAGCTGAAAGGATGCAAAACCGATGTCCCACGAACTGCTTGAGGTGTGCCACAGCATGTGCGTCTCTAACCCCCCCCGCCCCCCCCGGCAGCTCCGTTTCTTACCTGCTTCATGATTTCACGTTTCACACTGTCGTCAAACTGCAACCCCGAGCTCACGTTCACCGAGCGAAATCACAATCAAATGAGTAAACGAAGAGAAAGATGAAACATTTCTCAACCCAGTCCAGTGTCAAAAAAAGTTTAAAAATCTAAATGTACAAATTCAGCCTTAAAATGGTTTAGTGCAAATATGAAAATTAACAGCATAATTTTAAGGTATTTAAATAAGCTTTAATATAACTATAGTGCTTCGTTCCTATACATGTTTTCCCATCAACAGATGCAACAGCACGGGGGCATTTCTTGTTAAGAGCGGGACCAAACCCCGATCCTGGGAAGAAATAGCATAAAGTCATTTGTTAAATCATTTATTTATATTTTCACTTAAGTTTATTAAAGGGAGAGGGGGTATTTATTAGTGGAGAAGCAAAATATTTATCAAGAGGAATAGGAGCGAGGGGGATCAAGAAACGCTGTCCCTTCTCCTGACATTCAGCACACACGAATGCTGGTGGTATCAACGGTCGGGGCAGGCGCGGAGCCCGCCCGTCCCCTGGGCCGTTAGAAGGTCTCGTCGTCGTTGCAGTCGGCCGTCCAGTGCCCGAACACCTCGCAGGTGTCGCAGTAGGGTCGCTCCTCCCTCCTGCTGCCGTGGTGCGCCGAGTGCGGCGGCTCCTCCAGCATCTGCGCCTGCGTCGGACAGTCCTCGGTGTCGTGAAGATCAAAGCAGCCGCAGATATCGCAGAAGAGACGAGGTTTCTTCTTCGACAGGCTTTCTTCCTCACTGCAAGATCAGCACCAGCGCACGTCAAACAGGGTCCTTCTCCCTCTTCCAGGAGAAAGGCCTCTGCTCCCCTGCCCCGCCCCAGAAGCTGCCTCGTCATTCTTGAGACTGAGGAAGCGCCATGGTGGTCAACAATAAAAGATAATTACCAAAGCCCTTCTGGAGATCAGACATCTCAGCTGCCTTGCAGTACCTCCCCCGTTCCCTCATACTACAGTATTTACTAAACAAAGTGCTCTGTGTAAATATCCACGCAAATACAGGCATTATTTTAAAGAGAAACACATGTACCCTAATTTCTCTTTTCCCTCTATAGAAGAGAGCTGAAGTCACAGTATAACAAATAGGTTTTAGTTCTGCTTCTCCAGAGTGGATCTCCCCATCTCAGTGCAGCTCCTGGCCTCTGGAGAGCCAAGACTCTTCTTAATTCAGAAAGGGCCAAACTCGACCAAATCTGACAACAAACAGGTTACATCGGTGTTTGTGATCGCTCGCTACAGAGATCACTCTGCACCACCAGGTACAACCACAGAAACGGACCTAAAAGAGAAGGCTGGACTCAATCACCCTAAATTCAAGAGTAAGTTACATTTGTCCTTCCTGAGAGCTGAGACCAGGTTGGTGCATTGTGCAGGTGACAGAACTGACCACCACGAGCCACGGTTTTCCTGTAGGATTTATACCTGTCATAGTTATTTATCTCCTCTTCATTGCCATTGAGGGCGGCTTCACACATTCTTTGTATTTTTGAGTTCAATTCTTCATTTCTCCTTTGCAGATCTACAATCACTGAATTCAGGAAGTCAATCTATGACAGTCAAGAACAAGGACAGTCAGCAGGTTGAGGACAGCACTTCAGAGAAAGCGAGCAACAAGGGAATAACCCTCAAACTGACATGGGCAGAGCCACGTTATCTCTCAGCGCTGGATTGCTGGATGAGAGACACTGAGAAGGAGGGATGGGAACTTCCCAAGGGACCCCCGAGACCCTCAGTGCAATTTCTGTCCAGGGAACCAGAACTTCTGCCCAGCCAACACACCCGAGACGTTGGTGGGTCTCAACCCACCACTGTTCAATCAGGTTCTTTGTCTAATGTTCCATTTTGAGCATAAATCCAGTTGTAGATTCTGATCAGAACCAGCATCTCTGTTCCTCTGAACCCTCGGAGCTGTCCTGCAGGGGACACACCTGGTGGCATCTCCCAAAGCCAGAGTCACAGAGACCAGCAAGCCAGCGCTGCAGCAGCACTGCTGAACGTCATTAAGTAACCCCTGGCAAATTAACACAGTAAAATAAAGGAAGACAAGAAGTGGAACAAACCTCGTGCTGATTGGAAGGAAGGGTTGTCATCAGCAGGTGAATTCGAGGGGGCAGAAAAACAGAAAAAGATTGGTGCATGTTAACGACATTATTTCTGATCTCTGTACAGACTAGGAAGGACATTTTTTAATCGACATGACTGACATTAGTGATCTGACTTCTATAACAAGCAAAAGGTGCTTCTCTTCTAACGGTGTTTCCTCAGGCTGCCCGCTGCTGTGCTTCTCACGTTCATTATGGTTATCATACTCTTGACACATTTTTCCTGTTACCAAGCACGTGCTAACTGAGCAAACCCTTGCTCCGTTGCTGCCAGTTCTGCTTCACTCTGAGTGAAGTTCTGCAGTTAAGCAGCAGCGAAGATCAACATTTTCAACTGCAGAAGCTTAGAAGTAGCACAGGAGCTCAGGTAGCCCATTTCTCCAAGGTGGCAAGCACCACAGGTTCAAGGTCACACCCGGAGGCCCTCGGGAAGGCCAAGGAGCAGTTTGTGAGCGCGCTCTGCTGGGCTGCACCACACCAGCAGCCTGCAGGCCAACACCTCCCACCCCTGCTTCCCTGTTGGCTTCCTCACGTTCCAGTAACTGGAACTATTTCTCCAGTATTGCTCATCACTTGATTCTTAACATTTACAATCATTCGTATTTCCCTTCAGAAGCAGTTTACAAGCTAAATCTGCCCATTATAATCCTGATCTACAAAATCTGATAGGAACAAGTTGTTTGAAAAATACTCTGCCCCCAAACACGCAGCTGTTTTAGCATGCTGATGTTTCAGATCAAATACCTGCTTCTCTTTTGCAATTTCATCTTGAAGTAGATTAGCAGCAATGTCACCTTTAAAGAAAACAGAACAACAGAACCAAACAAGGTGTAAGTATCCAGTAATCTAAATGACAAAACACACAATGGCTTAGTCAGGGACTGAAATAATGTCACATAACAGCCTCTAGTCTCCAAAATATCTTAATTCTTGCTGCTTTCTAATCGGTGTAAGCTTCTGTAAGGACGACTTTGGGGAATTTTTTTGACCACTGCATGACAAAAGCATATTTAATACTGCATGTTAGTTATTAAAATACAAAAGATGTATGTATAGGGGACAGCTAACGTGGCCACACCCGCAGAGGAAAGCTCTGCTGAGAAAGGAGGCTGCAGTGACACGGAGCTTATCAAGCTCAAGCACAAAACGTGGGACTCCCAGGCTGGCGCTCAGGCAGGTGGTTTTATTATGATGCCTACACGCTACTTTACAGCAAGGAAAACCAGAACCAGTCTAAGAGAGGCCCTTGCACAGAACCCACACCGTGAGCAGGATGAAGTTTTCTGGCTTATGCACATGTTTCACTCCAAGTCAACCCGCCCCTTCGCCCCCCGGTGTAAATGGGGTTAACTGACACAGTCGGCAGCTTTTGCATTCTGCAGCTGGTCAGACGTTTTCCTTCCAGTCTTATGTGTGTCCTGCAACAGGAAAGTCACTTTTTCTCAGGAGGGTCAGTTAGTTAAACCTCCTTTTAACTATCTGGTTAACAATTGGCAAAGATCTGTACGATTAAAGCTGAAGGCACAGAGGCAGTAACGAGGGTCTCCCTTTTACCTGAGGAGCTCGTTACAGTTAAAGGCTGTTCGTTGTTTTCCTTGAGTTTTTGCTCCAAGTTCTTCACCTTTTCCTCAAGTTTCAATTTATCAGACTCCAGTGATTTAACCACTGACTGCAAGGTTTTTGCAGAAGCGTTTTCTCCACGGAGCACCGTGATCTGTAAGAATTATTTGAGAATGCTTAGGCCTTCCAGAATGAACTCACGGCACCGAGACAACATCCTTAGTACTGAGGGCTAAAGAGCCACCGAAAAGACACGCTAGAAGTCTCCTAAGCAGGCAGAGATACCCAAAGATTTATTCCTAAGGTTTAACTATGCTAAATTAATAAAGAAAAAGAATTAGGCAGCTCTTCAGTAGCAACCCTACAAAGCCATATGCTTCTAGCCATAACTTAATGTGAAATTAAGAATCATCCCACCATTTCTCATTTACCTCGTTTCTGAGTTTTTCCAGTTCCTCATCTTTTTGTGTGATCAAGGCACTAGTAACACTGATGGATTTTTGTAAAGATGCTCTCTCTTCATCGATTTCTTTTTTTAATGTTGATTCTCTAAAAGAAAACCAAATACAACCAGAAATCATCTAAAGAATAGATTCTTGTAGTCGCCTAAAAAAGTTTAATTTAATTTCAAGTATTAGACTACTGTAAGAAGTGATTCTTAAAAAGCAAATTTCGATTCAGTACTTGACTAAGATTTTATATATGTATAAATATTTCAGATATTACAACTGTGGAAACAAAGCAAAGACTTTACCTAGGTAGTACATGCCAGAATCTGCAAATCATCGTATCCATTT